GGGAAGAAGGGAGGGCATAAGGAGGGCGGGAGGGAGGGACATCGCTTGGTTGCCTCTGTATGCCCCCCATGACCAGGATCGAACCTGCCACCTTTTGGTGTATGGGACTACACTCCAACCAACTGAACCACTCAGCCAGAACCTAAAATTTTATTTTTAAGGTTATTTTGGTTGAGATTAATTTCTCTCTAAAATGAGTGTTCCCCCAAATGATTCTCTATAAATGAGTGAACAAACATATATTGTCCAGTAATAAGTTAGAAAACCAAGCTATAATCAAAGCTAAACTCTAGAAAGCCCTTTATAAAGCTTATTTGATTGGGCCAGAGAACATCTTCAACTGTTAACATCTAACTCATAAAGAGTGTAACATCCCTTTTATGCTTTTCACTCACATTTCCTCTTTTTTGGGGGTGGTAGGTTGAAGATTAGCAAATAACTAAGTGATAACTCTTAGTCAGCAGTATTTTTAGACCTGGAGAGCATAAGGAGTAAGTCAGAGAACAGTAGTAAATAGCCACTCTAATATTGTCAAAACCAACCTTATATTCTAAAGTTTTGGTTTTTTTCTCCAGTCGTTCTATTTCCAATTTTTGTCCTGAGATCACCTTTTCTTTTTCATTCAGTTTTCCTTGAATGGAGTTTTCTTTATTTGAAACACCCTTGTCAAATTCTTGCAACATACCTTTAAAAGTAAAAGCTGAAACAAAAGCATGCAGGTTTTGTTATTCCAATTCCAAAATAACAAACGCACTCAACTTTTTTAGCCAATACTATAAAGTCTTTCATTTTGCACTGACATCCCAATCCTTATGGGTAAATAATTGGCTTTAAAACAACAAATACAAAACCAGAAATAACAGAGTCATCCTAGGAACAGTTAGAGCCAAATCGAATCTCTAGTCACCACTTACTAGATATGTAACTTGGGCAAGTTATTTTTCTGAGCACATTTCCTCATTTCAAAGTGGGAATTTAAATACCACTTATCTCATACTTTTTTTTTTTTTGTGAAGATGAAAATGAATTGATGATGGTGCTAGAAATAGATACATCACTGAGCATTAACTATGTACCAGGCTGTTCACTCTTCTACGTGATTTTTATAAATTATCTCACGACACCCTATGAAGTAGAATAATTATAATCCCTATTTTGTGGACAGGGAACTAAGAAAGAGAGGACTAAATAATTTGCCCAAAGGTACAGTTATAAAGTGCCTTGCAAATAAGTAGTAGGAACTACAAGTAGCTATTATTCCTTTGTGTACATCACTTGTTAGTTTTAAAATGGGAGACAATACACACCAACTATTTTCGTTTGCTTTACTTTCTTGGAATAATTTTTAAAAAGCCATTGGAAAAGTTCCTTGTCAGTCTAATTAAACAATGCCTTGAGCACTACAAGTGCAAAGAGAGACAAAATAATCCTTTCTTAAAGATCCACCCCACTACAAAACTCAGATTCATTGCAAATTTCTAGAGTTAAAATGATTGTAAAAGGTTTTGGCCTTACATTGTTTGGTAAACTCATCCATCATCATTTGTCGTAGCTGATGGCGCTTCTCTAATGCTTCAATAAGCCTGGGGAGAGTCTGCTCATCATTGATATCCAAAATCTCGCAGGACGGCAAGGGTGGAAAACTCTGTAAGACCACTTCTGTAACCAACAGTTCTGTATTGAATTATAAAAAAATTTTTTTAAATTACACAGCAGAGAAAGAACTTATTTACACAAGTTTAACACTGATTAGAGCTCCAGTCTAATTAACTGTGTATTTTCTTGAGTTGTCATAATCATACTTTTAGCTGTAAAAAGAAAACCAGGAAAAGTTAAAAAATATGAGTTATCATATGTAACAAAAGAAGTCTCATTTATATACTACTGGTTCAGATTTCTTTTTGCACTTGGTGCTTTAGGGTAAGGGAAATGAACAGTTTTCTTATGTGAAATAGATTAAAAAGAAAGAAAGACCAATCAGTGGACAAATAATCTGATTCCAAAACATACCATCTCCAACTGGACCTGCCCGAACATGGTTCCTATATCGCCGTCCAGGTGTTAAACCACATATTGCCTTGTCTACTGGTCTTGCTACTTCAACTTCCTGGGTCACTTCTGCAAATCTCATGACTTGCTAAGACACAAAACAAATGGAAGTGTTTTTGTTTGTTTGTTCTTGTTTTTACAAATAAACATATCCAAGTCCTGCCTCAGAAATTACTATGAAACAATATTAAATTGGCCATCAGCTCATTTCTGTAACTGATGGTTCTGCACCAATTTTTTAAATGTCATTCTTCACAGATAGTTGTCAGAGTTGTTTTCTCTGTAGAAACCGGAGACTGTATAGGATAAATACATTAAAATTACCAAGCTTTCTTCATAATCTTCAGCCTTTGGATTCACACACACGATCATGCGTACTTTTCCTTCCCCATCAAAGTAGTTCTTGAACAGATGGGTTAACTTTGAATCTCGATATGGAACCATCTATAAATACATCCAAATCCAAATAAACATGTAAGGCAAAAAAGGCACACAAATAAACTATACAAATGAAAGGCTGTTGCTTACCTTGTTAGTGCCATACATTTGGTTCTCTCTCAGGACTTCCATACATGTTCTTAGCGTCATTAGTGATTGGTTAATGTTACCTAACAGAAAAATATACACAGAAGACATCTGAAAAAAACAGTGTAGTCTGTTTGGCTATAAAATCCCTATTGCATACAACTATTAGATGGAATTAACAGATTTTAGTGGCTCAATTTAAAGATCTGTCCATGCATGGTCTGGTAGTATTTTAATAGCAGTGTTTCAGGAGAGGTTAAATATCCTTCAGGGATTCATCAAAAGGACTCTCGAATGAATGCAACATTACACTTCATGACCCATTTTCTTCCAAATCTTAAATTCTGTGAAATAGTATATTAGATGTAGCTGTTTAATGTCCTCATATAAAATATTATCTCTAAAGCATGGCCATTTCAGGCTACAGTTGGCTCCATCAACACTGAAATCTCTCCTGCACCCAGAGGGGCTCCTATTTCTAAGTCAAGTGTCTTAGAACCAGCTAATTCTTGTCCCTCTACATCTAAAGTAACAAGTATTTCTTAGGTGGCATACTTGTTACTTTTGACCACTCTTGTTTGGATTTCTGAACCAAGACAAGTCCGACAGATTAATCAAGCCTCCAATAGCACAGGAGATCTCACCTGCATAAACCCCAAAAGTACCTAAGAATTTGTTTATTTTGGAACTCTGATTAAGGTTGACTAACTCAACCATATTTTCATCCTTGGCCACCCTCTCAAAACACATGGCTCATCTGTACCCTCATAATATTCCATGATTCATGATTTATCTTCCTTGACCCCAAACTCCCAATGTCCTTTCTTCTACCACTGTGCTCTCAGGAACCCATATTTGTTAACAGATTTCCCTAAATCCTCAAGCTCTCACAGAACGATCCATTCATTTCGTTCCCTAATGGCCAGGTGTCCATATTGTCCATGCATACACTTCAGGGAGTCTGCATACTTGATGGGAAATAAATTACTTCTTTATTTTTATAGCACTTACAGTTATTAATAATCTCATGATATTTATATTCATTACTACTTTGAAAGTATATAGTTACTAGACCTGCTGGTGGGTTTTTACTTAAAGCAGCACATAAATTACTGTATGACAGATGTCTTAAGAATACTTTAAGTATTTCAATCTAATTGGTTTCCTTTATAAGCCTATGTATTTTATGCCATATATTAAAAAACTAGAGGCCCGATGCATGAAATTTGTGCAAGAGTAGGCCTTCTTTCCCCTGGCTGCCAGCTTCCCTCCGGCCCCAGGAACCCAGGCTTCCCTCACAGCCCTGGCTTCATCCGGACAGTCGTCTGGAAGGACGTCCGGTCTAATTAGCACATTACGCTTTTATTATTATAGATATTATTCTGGAAAATGTCCACAGGCTTTACCCTGTACCCATGGCTCAAAACCCTGAAACCTTACCCTTATTTTACCATAAGGGTAGTGCTTTCCCCCTGCAGTACTTTTTGAGTAAAAGTTGCTTGTTTTCTAAAGTCTGACATTGATAAGGATGGTGAATAGAGGGAGGCCAGCAATGTTTTCCTAATTCCTAGCTGCTGCCTTCTAATGTTCCTCCTACATGCCCACTCCTGGGTCATTTCAGTATTTATGAGGAGAATCACTCTCACATGCAGTCAGAGGGCCCTATCTTCAACTCCAGTAAATCTTTATCTCCTTACCAATAATGTAGCCAAACAACCACACCATCTTGGGGAACCTGAGGCTGTCACATGCTCCAACCACAATTGTCTTCTCTTCTAGTTCTCACTCCCTAAACCTGTGTTCCTCATCCATATTAACAATGATAGTCCTTCCTGTTTCTTCCCACTAAGCATCTGAACCCTCAGGTTTAAAAACCAAAACCAAAAAACAAAACACAAACAAATAAATCCCAGGTTTCTACTTTGTTCCCAATCCAACTACAACTCTTTCCACATCGAGGTTAATCCTTCTTATTATCTGAATTCCAGATTCCTGATCTTCTTATACAATAGTCCCCCCATATCCACAAGTGATACGTACCAAGACCCCCCAGTGGATGACTGATAGTACCAAACCCTATACATACTATGTTTTTCTCTACACATACATATTTATGATAAAGTTTAATTTATAAATTAGGCACAGTAGGGGATTAGCAACAATAACTAATAAAAATATACTATAATAAAAGTTATGTAAATGTGACATTGTTAAATAAAGTAAAGGTTTCTTGAACACAAGCACTGTGATACCAGACAGTCTATGCTGAGATGGCTACTAAGTGCCTAACAGGTGGATAGTGTATACAACGTGGACAGGTCCCAGGCAGGACAGTGCAAAATTTCATAATGCTACTCAGTGCAAAATTGTAAGTTATGAACTAGTTCTAGAATTTTCCATTTAATATTTCAGACTGCAGTTAACTTTGGGTAACTGAAACCAGGGAAAGCAAAACCACACAGATAAGGGGACTACTGTACACACATATGTAACGTGTATTTTTTTAGTTACTTCATAATCCCTTAAGTCACCTTCTTTGTCCTTCATAGGCTCTTTATTTATAATTTAATATATTTTTACTGATTTCAGAGAGGAAAAGGAGAGGGAGAGAGAGAGAGAGAGAAACAGCAATGATGAGAGAATCATTGATTGCCTGCCTCCTGCATGTCCCCCACTGGGGATTGAGCTCTCAACCCGGGCATGTGCACTGACCGGGAATCAAGCTGTGACCACATAGTCGACACTCAACCACTGAGCCACGGTGACCAGGCTCCATAGGCTCTTTAAATTAATCATCAAGGGCTTATTATTCAAGGCTCTGCCTCAGCTTGTTCCTCTCTGTTCCCCATGAATAATTTTTTTTTATATATTTTATTGATTTTTTACAGAGAGGAAGGGAGAGAGATAGAGAGTTAGAAACATCAATCAGCTGCCTCCTGCACACCCCCTACTGGGGACGTGCCCGCAACCAAGGTACATGCCCTTGACCGGAATCGAACCTGGGACCCTTGAGTCCGAAGCTGACGCTCTATCCACTGAGCCAAACCGGTTAGGGCCCCATGAATAATCTTATCTCCCCCATTGCTTCTATCATTTTTCTTTTGGCAAAACCAAAACATGTCAGTCTCAAGTCAAATCTCTCTCCTTCCAAATCTATGTGCCTCTGCATCTAATTACTAGGCACTTCCACTTGGAAAATTTGAATATACCCAACACAAAATTCATGAACCTCCCATACTTGCATCTCAAACTGCTCCCAAACCAAGCTCCTCTCCTCCTCTTCGTCACTCTTCACAAGCGGGTGGACGTACTTCCTAACTAGCTCTCGGGTTTTCTTTGATTTTTGCCTCCAGGTCATATGATTGCTCATCTGAATTACAGTAAAAGGCAACTAACTGCTTTTCATCTCTGGGTTTGCCCCTGGTAATTAATTCTCTTCATTGGGAAAATGACCTTTCTAAAAAAACTAATCCTTCATTGGCTTTATGGAGCAGCTGTATAATGGTAGAAAGACACAAATTTTGAGAGTCCAACCAACTTGAGTTTGAACCCAGGCTCTAACCTTGTGAAAATTACTTCTTCCAACCTCCTCAACTGAAAAATGGTTGATACAATTCTGAAAAGTCCAAGAATCAATAAATCAAGCCCATGCATAGTAGATACTATGAAACACAACAGTCCCTTAATAACTGGTAGCCACCATTATTCCCTTAGGATAAAATTCAGATTTTTTTAATATGATAGACAAGGTCTTCATGACCTTGTTCTGCCTGCTCTCCTGTCTCTTTGTCAGTTTACCACTCACACTCTCCACTTCCGCTGCCTTGACCCTGCAGGTTCTCTCAAGACTGGTCTGTTTACAAGTGGCTGCCTCCTCTGTCAGGGATGATGCCTTTAATCCTGTCCTTTTTCACAGAGCTCACTCCTCAACTTATGTGTCAACTCCATGAATTCTTCCTCCAACCCCCATCTTCCTCCTCAGATTGGATGAGGCAGCTCTACTCTGTACTCCGACAGTAACTTGTGCTCACTTCCATTACATTCTACTGAAATGGTCTCCTTATCTGCCTATCTCTTGTACAAGGCTGGGCTCTCTAGGGCAGGGCTCAATTCCATATATCTATGTTAATTCCTGGCACACAGTAGGTACTCCATAAATGTTACTAACATAAAACATAACTTGAACGGCTACACAAAATGAAAGATTAAAATAAAAACAAAACACCCACAGAGTTCCTTTTAATTGGCTTTTGTGTTCAAAGATTTTTCCCCCTCCCCCTCCAGAAGCCAATTTTTACCATTATGAATGCTCAAGTAACTGTTAAATGACTTCGCTTTAAGGACCCAGGTACTGGCAATACCAGCAATAGATATAACAAATCCTTTCAATATGAATATAACTTGTATTTATTTTAGTCAGTTTTCCATGCTCATTATTAAACAAATCAGTGTAATGTAACAGATACTAAATCAGTATAACTAAAGCAACAGCACTAACCAATAAATTTAGCCTCTAAATTATGACACTTAAGACAATTAAGCCTCAATCTCCCATCAATAAGCAGATGATAAATTGGCATTGCAAGCTTTTAAAAGGTGTAGCAATAGATAAGTTTTTACTCACCAGCTTCACGTAATCGGTTCCCTTCTGCTTTTGTCCGGTTAGTTCTTTCACTTCCAGCAAGATCCACCAAGGACAACTGGCTTATAGCGATTTGTTCTTTTTCCTGAAGAGAAGATCATAATGTCAATAACGTAACATGAGCTATAAGTGGTTTACAATGTTCTTTAAACATATTTAATTAACAAATTATTATGAATATAATATTTGCACAATACAAAATGTACTGGTAGGGACAAAGGACACAAGTTTTGGGGGAAAAGTTTGCTAACAGCATATGATAAATATACTCATGCCATTAATGATTACTTGCCCATTGTCTGGTCTACATTATGCTGTAAGCTCCATGAATGAAGGGACTCTGCCTTGTAATGACTTTATCTCCAGAACCTTACACAGTGCCTAGCTCTCAGCAGGAGCTCAATAAATATAAGCTAAATAGTGAGGCTAAAACAGGGCTAGCCTAAAGTTTTTTATAATCAGATATTTAATAACTTTGTGATCTAATAATTTCATAATATGCTAATAATTTTCAGAAGAAATAAAAGTCAAGCCAAAACCGGTTTGGCTCAGTGGATAGAGCGTCGGCCTGCGGACTGAAGGGTCCCAGGTTCGATTCCGGTCAAGGGCATGTACCTTGGTTGCGGACACATCCCCAGTGGGAGATGTGCAGGAGGCAGCTGATCGATGTTTCTCTCTCATCTATGTTTCTAACTCTCTATCTCTCTCCCTTCCTCTCTGTAAAAAAAATAAAAAAAAATATATATATATTTTAAATATATTTTATTGATTTTCACAGATTCTGATATGTTACCAATCAAAAATAATGTTTGTTTTGTTATTAGCCTTTTTGCTTGGCTTTTCCATATC